TGGAGTTAGCCCAGACCCCGCCCCCGCAGATCAACCCCCCCCCAGCAGGCTGCTCCCGTCTCAGGTGCCAGCTGCAACAGTGGGTCCCTAAGTTACCATGCTGCTGTCTGATCTGGGGAGAAGTGCTGCCACAACCTCCCTTCATATTTGAGAATTTGCTACAACAGCTGGGGGAATGCAGGGAAGTTCTCCACTTACTATGGCCAGTTATTATAAAGGATGCTATGAAGGATGCAAAGGAAACCCAGCTGGAGAGACAGCAGACATGGCCCAGAAGGCTCCCCAGCACAGGTCCCCAACCACAGGGTTGCCCCACGTGGACGTGTTCGCCAGTGGGGGGGGTTCTGCACCCATCATTCAGAGCCTTTATGGAGGCTGCATTGCATGGGCATGGTTGATTGGCTGATCACCCCCAGCCCCTCTCTCCTCCCTGCCGGTCAGAGGATGAGGTGGAAAGTCTCAGCCTTCCAATCACCCCGTTGCTTCCTTTGGCAACCTCTCCACATCCCCAAGTCACCTCCTCAGCATAAACTCGGGCAGAGTTGAAGGGGCTCCTTGTGAGTCACAAAAGATGCTCCTGCCCCCACTACCACCCAGGCAATGCCAGGGGCCAGGAACCGGGGTTGAAGACAGAGTGTGCATGTCTTATTGTACACAGGATCCCTGGAGGTGGGCGGGAGATGGTCTCGCAGCCAATGCTCGCAAGCTGGGCTCCACTCCTGTTCCGGGAGCATCACACAGGCCGGTTAGGGTCCTCCTGGATCAGTGGCAGTTGAAGCCTAGTTTTTACTTTTTGGTACCAGGGATTGAACCCAGGGATGGTTTACCTCTGAGCCACATCCTCAGCCCTTCTATTGTTTTATTTTCAACCAGGGTCTCGCTAAGTTGCTTAGGGCCTTGCTAAGTTGCTGAGGCTGGTCTTGAGCTTGTGATCCTCCAGCCTCACGCTCCTGAATTTCTGGGATTACGGGAATGTGCCACTGTACCCAGTCAGTTGGAGCCTGTGAGCATCTGGATGAGCATACGGTTTCCAGAATTCCATCACGCAGCCAGCCCTGACAGAGACAGGAAACTTCCACAAATCTGTAAAAATAAATAAGGATACTCAATCGCCTAGCGGATCTGTCAAGGGCTGAGTGCAGGGTAAAGCCCTGACCCCCATGTGATGGCATTAGGAGGTGGGCCCTTGGTGGCCATTTGGCTTGGATGAGGCCATGAGGGTAGATCCCCAGGATGGGATTAGGATCCTTAGAAGAAGGGGAAGACACACCAGAGGGTTGGGTGCCGGGTTTCTGTTCTCGCGACTAAAAGGCTCAGTGGTCACTCCAGTCAAACTGGGCTAACTGGGCTGCACGAAATAACCACACAAAAGACACAAATACCTTTTTCTTTGGGGTCACTGTGATGGCTCCTCTGACCTTAAGGGTCCGCAGAAAAGAGAGAGAGAGAGCGATAGCACGCGCTGACCCCTTTTATTGAGGAGAAGCTATTCAAATGAGGCAAGGGGTCAGGTGTCAGGGGGCTGAGTATCTTCATGATGTCCACTGTCAGCAGGTTGACTGACACCTGGGTAGGCCACACCCAAGGGCACAGTAAGAGGAGGGGACACACACAAGGCACTTCCATGGAAGGGCAAGGGGTTATATTACAAAGGGACAGGTGAGCATAGCTTCACCCATGGGGCTGTAGCAAGACACACCCATTTCTGTGACTGAGCGCCTCAGCACCCAGCTGGGGAGTGTAACTCAGTCACCCATAAGGTTGGCCTCCCACAGTTGGGGGCTCTCTCTCTCCCTCACCCCCTCTCTCTCTCCCCCCTCACCAAAGCCCAGCCACACTTCATCATGTACCTCCCCACACCCCAGAACGGCTCTTCAGGTCACCCAGTCTATGACATGTCGCTGCAGCCTGAGCTGATGGAGACAGATGCCCAAAGGGCCAGATGGACTCCTGAGCGGGGAGCTGGGTGTGGAACCAGGCATGTAGGGAGACTGTAGTAGACTCAGCCCGCAGGAACCTCTGTGCTCCTCCTCCTCCTCTGGGCACCCTGTTTCCAGCAATGGCCAGTCAGGGTGCCACTCTGAGAGATCTGGGAATGACATTCGTGACTCATGATCCAGAATCGGCACAGTGACTGGCAAGTGTGCTCTGGACTTCAGCTCTGGTCAAGGACAAGGATGTGCCACAAGGTGGCGGTAATGCACTACGAGTTTATTTGGATGAGCCTTGATGGGTTTGCAGAAGGGAAGTCCCTCCGGATGCCTAGGGGACAGCAAGGGGGTGGACCAGAACTCCAAAGGGTGGCAAAGACCTGGGGTCTTTCCCAGCCTCAGGGTTTGGCTTGCAGGTGTTGAATGTGCTTTTGTGGGCGGTGCAAAGCAGGTAAGCTCCGACTGTCTAAAAATCTGCTTACTTGGGCTGCATTTGAAACAACTGGAGCCAAGGGGAAGTGGTGCTCTCCTGTAAGCCTGGAGACTTGAGAAGGCGGATTCAAGAGGATCAGAAGTTGGAGGCCAGCCTCAGCCACTTAGTGAAACCCTGTCTCAAAAAATAAAAAGGGTTCAGTGGTAAAGTGCCCCAGAGTTCAATCCCCAGTAACAAGATGATAACAATAATAATATTTATAAAATAATAAAACAACTGGATGTATAGAAATTTGAGCTTGGCCCCATGAGAGTTTGAGCCAATGGAAACAGCATGACTAGCATCAACCCAGCAAGGAGGATGGATGGAAGATATGTACCAGAGACCTCGGACTCATCACCAGTACCTGACACACTCTGAGCACATATAGGTGACAAGTAAAGAAATGCCTGCCTCGAGAGCCACAGGTTGCTTTGCAGATGTGAATTGTGAATTGTTCCCCTCTCTCTTCCTTATTTAAAAGTAAAAGTGATAAAGGAGGCAAAAACCCAACAAAACTCAGAAATCTCCACTCAATACATTCTTGTGTTGAGAAGTAGCCACGGAGAAAACAACTCTGACCACACAGACTTGAATCCCGGGCTGACCGCCTGGGTCTATCTTGGAGGGCTGTTGGTGACAACAGGAATAAAAGATGTGGATTCAGTGCACAGGCAGATGAATGCATAGTGCATTGACTAATTAGTCAACAGTTCAGTGGGTCAATAGATTGATTAATGCAGGGATGGAGGGATGGAAGAATGAATGAATGAGACGGAGGGAAATGGGAGAATAGAGAGGTGTAGAAATGACAGCAAGCAAGAAGAGGTGGGTGGTGGCTACAGATGAGCGTCCACAATAGGTGTGAGTGGACAGCAGATGTGTGGTGGAGTGAGTGAGGAGGACGCCAGGTGAAGTTGCACCAGGTGAAGTTGCACCAGGTCAAGTCGCACCAGGAGCGCCTCCCTGATGTGCCTCCGACTTCCTATGGTGTCAGGGGACTTCACCACACTGCTCCTTTCCACAATTTTTCATCTACAAAGAGGGAAGACTGGGTTTGATGACCCTGAAGCCCCATCCAAGGCTGCTCCCTTCATTCTCTCTTTTTTTTATATTTATTTTTTAGTTTTAGTTGGACATGATACCTTTATTTTATATACGGTGCTGAGGATCGAACCTAGGATCCTGCACGTGCTAGGCAAGTGCTCTACCGCTGAGCCACAACCCCAGCCCCTTCATCTCTCTTGATGTCCCACGTCCACCTGTGTCAGGGAGCTTTGCCCTGGATGAACCTTGCCAGGGTCCCACATGGGTACCAAGGACAAACCCAGAAGGTCCAGTGGACACCTTTGCAGCATGTCAGTGCACCCAGGTAGCCAGTCTGACTTCAAAGCTCAGTTCTGCCTGATCTCACATTTGAACACCCTAATCTTGCCCACTAAGACAACTCAGGTATTAAAATAACACTATTTTATATGGTCTGTGCACATTTTAAACTTCTCAATCTTTATGCACAATGTGGTGTAGGTTAGTCTCTAAAAGAAAAGAGTACAGCAACAAACGTGGCTTATACTTCTTGAGCCCGTGAGCACGTTTGGTGTGGTCCTAAAGGCATTTTTAATAAGACAGAGTACGTCAGTGTGCATCTGCACAGAAGCAAGCGTTGCTTTATGAATGTTAGTGCATGTGTGTGGGTGTGTACACAGTTGCATGTAAATTTTACTTGTCGTGTGCAGAAAAAGGAGCAGTGAAGGCTGCTGGCCTAAGGTTGGAAACACATGTCATCCGTTTAACTCTCTCTAGAGATGACATGGTCGATATGTTCAGTCCCCCCTTTCACAGAGGAAAATTCAGAAGGCTTGATAAACTGCACAAGGTGACAGCCGGCAGAGCTGGGGCTGTCCAAGAGCTGAAAGTTACAGTCTTCTCCATTAACTGGGAAGAGGAGGAGGAGGAAGTTGGAAAACACAATAAAAAATAGAGTCTGTGCTCCACCGCAGAAGTCAAGAGGGGAATACATGAACACTGAGTGGGGAGAACTGCTTGGAGACGGAATCTGGGTTCCTGGAGATGAGAACAGCGTCAAGGTTGGCCAGAAAAAGATAGAAGTTAAATGAATAAATCCAGGAGAAATTGTGCAGGTCAGCCAGGCCTTGGGGAGGGAGAGAGAGAAAACAAGGAAAGGGAACAGGCTGCAAGAGGAAGGCTGTGTGTGTGTGTGTGTGTGTGTGTGTGTGTGTGTGTGTGTTTTAACCACTACTGCAGCCAAGAGTACGATGGGAAACTGACGGAGTAAAGATCAGCGACCAGGTCCAAGCTCTACTGCGCATGCACCACTTGCTCTTGCCTGGCAAAGGAGCTGGCTTTAACGATGATGGTGGTGGTGGTGGTGGTCAAGGAGACCACTGCAAATGAAGCTGTAACTAGGGCAGAAGCTCTGCTTGGTCTCCTCTAAGTCTACTTTTGGGGGAAGGCCTGAACAGTTTGAAAGGGATTTGCTTGGCAGTCAAGGGTGCCATAAAAGGAGATAACGAGTTGCTTAAAAAGCGAGATGGAGCAGTGCAAAGGTAAACTTCAATGGGGTCTTGCAAGCCTGGTAGAAATTACAATAGCTAACATTTATTGAGCATTTACTGTAGGCTACTCACAGTTTCTAAACACTTTTTGGGGGGAATTATTCACTCAATCGGACGATAATCTGTGGTGTGATATTATCAACGTGCCCATTTTACAATAAAAGAAACCAAGGTTTGAAGAAGGTGGCAGGACACAAAGGTGAAGGGTGGCTAAGTGGGGCTGAGCCTGGGGGGCTGGGGGGCTCCAGTAGGGGCTGTCCGGCCCCAGGGATCCCAGTGTCTGCGCTGCTCTGCAGGAATTCTTCTGACATCACAGGTGTCTACCTCCAGACCCCCTAGGGCAAGGCCTGGTCGAGCGCACGGCTCCTGCTGCAACAGTCCAAAACGACCAGCCCACCCAGGGACGCGAGGACCAAGCCCGCCAGCCCCAGGCGGATGAGGTTCCCCTGGGTGTAGTCTAAGGAGCTGGAGTCTGCAGGCCAAGGAGAGAGAGATGCGCTGTCAGCTCCAGACCCCCAAATGTGCACCTTTGGGGCTCTAACTCCTGGGGTGGAGCTGGGGACCCAAGTCTCAAAGTTGGGCAGGGCAGATGGGAGAACAAGGCCTCAGACTCCGGGTCTGAGGGAGAAGGACTGGGCTTGGGGCTCTGGATCTGGGGAAGGAGGGCTGGGTCTATCTCCATGTCCTAAGGAGGGCTGGCGACAGTTCCTTAGGTCCTGGGGAGAAGGGCTGAAGCCACTCGCCAGGTTCCAGAGGAGGAGAGCTGGACTGTGTCCCTGGGTCCCCAGGAGGAGGGCTGGGATCGGCCCCTAGGTCCCGGGGCGCCTCACCGTCAGAGCTGACGACCAGCGGCTCGCTGCGCGGCGACAGCACGTAGGGGGCGGAGGGCGTGTGGTAGTAGCAGCTGTAGGTGCCGGGCGCCCGGGCGCCGAGCAGCGGGAAGTCGGCCCAGCGCTGCGCCGAGTCGCGGTACTGCAGCGGCGCCGCCAGGCCCACGCGGTACAGCGCGAAGCTCATGCCCGGCAGGCGGCCCGCGCAGCGCAGGCTCACGTTGGCACCGGGCGCCACCACCGGCCCGGGCAGCGCCACCAGCGACGGCCGCGGCAGTAGATCTGCGGGGCGATGGGGGCCTGAGCTCGCGCGACCTGGCTCCTCCCCGCCCATCCTCCCCTGTATCCCCCTCTCCGCTTTCCCAGCGCGTCTGTTCACCTCCCAGCTACCCACCTAGCTCGGTCTGTTCACCTCCCAGCTACCCACCTAGCTCGGTCTGTTCACCTCCCAGCTACCCACCTAGCTCGGTCTCCCCTCCCTTTCCCGGCCCCGGCGCCCCTCGCCTTTCCCGCTCAGGACCTCACCTGTCACCAGCAGCTCCAGGACGTCGCTGGGTTGGGACCAGATGCCCGGTCCCCAGTCTAGCCTGCGGTAGGAGCAGTGGTAACTGCCCCCCTGGGCGGGAGTCACTGCCTCCAGAAAGAACTCGGCCAGCTCCGTGGACACGTCCCCGAGGAGCAGGGGCACGCTCTCTCCCGCCCTGAAGAGTGCAAACCTCCAGGCGGGCTGGGGTGCGCGGCACCTCAAGGTCACGTTGACCCCCGGGGTCACGACTGCCGCTGGCTGAGCCCCCAGCCATGGCTTGGGGTAGGAGGCTGGGGGAACTTAATAAAGGAGTCGGCGTGAGCCCTGGGACCTCCCAGGAACCGCAGGGGGTTCCGGGGAGGTTGGGGGAGGAAGAAAGCAACCGGGACCAGCCGCCTTTGCCCCTCTGTGCGCCTCAGCTGTGTAAAGTAGAGGAAGGCCTGGACCACACTCAGGCTGGTCAGAGAAAGAGGCAAGCGGGCGTGGTGGAGCCGCCGTGATCCCGGGAGGCTGAGGCTGGAGAAGGGCAGGTTCAAAGCCAGCCTCCGCATTTGAGTGATACCTAGTCGCATTTGAGTGATACCTGGTCTCGGTCTCTCTCTCTCTCACACACACACACACACACACACACACACTTCCAGTTTTGTTGTTTGTTTGTGTAGTTTGTTTGTTTTGGGTACTGGAATTAACTCACTGGTGCTTTACCACTGAACCACATCCCTAGCCTTTTTTATTTTATTTTTTTTTAATTTTGATTCAGGAGCTCACTAAATTACCCAGGCTGGTCTTGAACTTGCAATGCTTGCCTCAGCCTTCCAAGTGGCTGGGATTATAGGCATTTGCCAATGCCACTGCACTGGGTTATGGCTTTTAAACAATTTCAGAGGGCCATGTCCCAGACATCTGCGTTTTTAGTCTCTAGAATGTTGGTACCAGATTTCAGTCGTTGCTGCTCTGGTTTGAATTTGTCCCCAGGAGATAATGTGTTGGAAACCTAATCCCTAACACAATAGGGTTGAGAGGTGGGAATTTAAGAGGTGATGGATTGTGGCTCAGTGGTAGAGCACTGGCCTAGCTCGTGTGAGGCCCTGGACATGTCGATCCTCAGCACCAAACAAAGATAAATAAAAATATTGTGTCCATCTACAACTAAAAAGCATTTTTTTTTTAAAAAAAAAAGGAGGTGATTGGTTGGATCAGTGCCATTATTGCCAGAGTGGGTGTTTGATATAAGGGTAAGTTACACACACGAACACACACACACACACACACGCACATGCATGCGTGTGCGCGCGCACACACACACACAATACCCTTCTTGACTAGGTGATGCCTTTGGCCACAGCATGATGCAGATAGATGGTCCTTACCAGGCCCTTTGATATTGGACTTTGCAGCCAGACTAAGAACTAAATAAAATTCTGTTGTGTATAAATTGCCCACCCTGTGGCACTCAGTTATAGCAGCACAAAACAGACTAACAGTTGCCAAAACTTGCTATTTGGAAAAAAGTAACATGGGATCCTACCTCGCACCATTCCCCCAATCAAATTCCAGCTTAATTAAAAACCTACATGTGTTTCTTAAAATGTATTCTTAGAATATGTAGAAAAACACAAATATCTTGAAGTAGGAAAGGTTTCTTAAGCTGTACAATGAAAAATTCATGAGATAAAATTAATAAACTTGACCTCTTGGGTTATATTTGCCAAAAGACAAATGAAGCTAGAAGTCATGTGACAGTATTGGCAAAAATCACTTGATTCATAAATCATTTGGATTAAGAATATAGAAAGAAACCCGAGAACCATTCAAATAAAATCTGTACAAGACATGAATAGGCAATTCACAAAGGAGGAAGTCAGTCGGCTACAACACAACTAAAGGAAAAAGGTTGCTTAACCCTCATAGCAATTATTTTAAAAAAAAAATCACCAAGATTGTTTTGCCAATCAGGTTATCAAAAACTGTGGTTAACATTGAGTTTGGGTGAATATGTTGAAACCGGCCCCTGGGCACTTGAATGTACCCTCTCTGAAGGAAATGTGTCAGTTTCTATCAAGATACAGGACATGAGTAATGACCCAATAATTCCACTGCTTCTCCAGGCACAAAGGTGCACATGTGTGCACCAGAAAGTCATGCAGGAGTGCTTGTTGCAGTATTGATTGTATAGCCAGGAAAACTGGATATACCTAAATGTATATCAAAAGGGAATGACCCCTCACCCCAGAATCTAGCCATCCTGCAATAGCAAATTCTGGTCAACAGTTGGAATAACAATAAAAAGTAGAAAGAGTGGCATGGAGATAGCTCCAAGACAGATTATAAAGTAAAAAGCATGAGATACAGAACAGGGTGAGTCATCCATTATCAATATTGCTTGGGAAAAACCAAAACCAAAAAACAAATCTATAAATACATGCATGTGTGTGAATATAAGGAAATTCAGATCATTTAAGGAAGATGAAGAAGAAGGAGACTGTTATATGTTTTTTGCTAATGACTGAATTTTTATAACCATGAATAGATATTAGCTTTATCATAAAAAAAAAAAAAAAACTTAACTTGAGCTGAGTGTGGTGGTGCACACTAGGAATCTTAGCAACTAAAGAGCTGAGGCAGCAGGATGCAAATTTAAGACCAGCATCTGCAACTTAGTGAGTCTCTGCCTCAAAATAAAAATAAAAGGGCTGGGGATGTGGCTCAGTGGTAGAAAAACAATTTGAAAGAAGCTGGTAGCTCAGACATCGATGGTTTCTCAGATAATTTTTTTTAAATTTTTAATATTTATTTATTTATTTTTTAGTTTTCGGGAGACACAACATCTTTGTTTGTATGTGGTGCTGAGGATCAAACCCTGGCTGCCGGCATGCCAGGCGAGTGCACTATCGCTTGAGCCACATCCCCAGCCCTTTCTCAGATAATTCTTATTTGAAGTTGTAGTGTTGTATAGTGGGAGAAAGGAAAGGTCAGTGTCACTTCTGAGGAAACAGGAAGAAACCCGTCTCAGGATGGGAGACCCTCCTTTTTGTAAGGGTGGAAAACTGGATATACCTAAATGTACATCAAAAGGGAACGACCCCTCACCCCAGAATCCAGTTGAAGGGATAACTGGAATGGCAGGAGATGGTACTTCTCCAAGCCAGGGGATTTACCCATGTGGTTAGACTAAGTCCTACAACAGCCCATTTTATAACGAAGGAAATGTCTTCAAAGCCGTGGTTTGTTCAAGGTCATCTAGTAATAAGGTGGTGAAGCTGGAGTTCTAGGTCATGTCTCTTCACTATCCACCTATCATGGCCACTAAAAGGAGTGAGGAAGGAAGGAAGAAAAAGAAGGGGAGAGAGGGAGCAGAAAGGGGCAGGAGAAAGGAAGGGAGGGAAGGAAATCTGGGGTGAGCCTGAGCACCAGAATAGAATCTGAGTAGTTGGAAAAGAGATGTCAGCAAAGCAGAGGATGAAGAGGAGTGTTACTCACCAGACGGAGTGAGGTCTGCGTGACCCAGAGCCCCTGCACAGGGTTGAGGAGAAATTTTTTGTAAAGTCCTTCGAGGGTGCCAGTCCCACCTCACCAGGAGCCCAGGAATGGGATTCCTCAGCCTCTCCTTAGTCTGAAGAACAGGAACTTCTTCCCTACTTATTCCTCTCTAAGCTGTCAGGAATTCAGGCTTCCTTCCACACCTGCTTATGAAGCCAGATGTTTGCCCCTAGCCCCCTCCTCCCTCCAGCCAGGAGTCCTGCCCCCCACCCCTCCTTTCCCAGGGATTCAGAGGTCCTGGCTCCCACCTCCTCCCCTATCAAAATCAGGAGTCCACAGCCAGGTGGGGGGTGGCACAGCCTGTCATCCCAGCAGCTCTGAAGGCTGAGGCAGGAGGATCTCAAGTTGAAAGCCAGCCTTAGAAATTTAGAAAGGCCCTTAAGCAACTCAGTGAGAGACTCTGCCTCTAAGGGGGGAAAAAAAAAATGGTGGTGGGGATGTGGTTCAGTGGTTAACTGCCCTTGAGTTCAATCCCTGGTACCAAAAAATAAAAATAAATAATTAAATCAGGACTCCACACTCCCTAGTCTCTGATCCCCTCCTGTCTCAGGATCTAAGAAGCCTGTTCCCACTTCCCTCCTCTTCTAGGACTCCGTGTTTTCTAGTTTAATGCCCAGCAGTCTTGGCCCCAGTCCTGTCCCTTGATTCTCACTAGACGTGGAATGCTAAACGCCCAGCTGGTGCTGCAGGGTGGCTGGGTCCCCAACCCTTTTCTCTCTCTGCTCCCAGCCTAGCCAAGGACCCAGGCAGAAGGGAGGGGGCAGCTCACAGAGGGTCAGCAGCTGGAGGGCCACCGCCAGGGCCATAGTGGGCTCTCTCTAAAGCTGAAGCCAGGAATGGAGATGCCCTCCTCCCTCCCCGGAAATGAGGCAGAAAGCCAGACGTCAGACAGCCCTGTATAGGGAAGGAGAAGGGCTGCGGGGAGGAAGGGCTCTGGGTGGCTGTGTCACAGCCCCGTGGTCTGTGGGAAAAGTTGGAAGGAGGAATCATAACCTGTTGTGTTCATTAAACTTAAAAAAAAAAAAAGCACCCATTAAGCGCCAGGCCCTTGCTGCGTGAAGCCGGGAGCAGAGGGCTCAGACCTCGTTACTGCTCTCAAGCAACTCCCACTTTCACTGAAAGACAAACCTGGACCATTTCACTTAAGGAAAAAATGGGGAGGGGAGTGATCTCAGCTATACGGCAGTAACAGCGGGAACTGTGAGAGCCCACAGAAGGTCCCTAAACCATCTGACACGAAAACTAGCGCTTCCAGCACCAGCTGATGCCGAGCTGCAAATCCGTAGGGCAGCTGTTCGCCTTCTTCAGCCTCCGCTTCTCCTTCTGTAAATGGGTTTTCAAAAATTCCGCCGTATGTGAGTTGCTGCAGGAAGACTAGAAGTCAATCCTTGGGAGCGACCCCTAGACTGAGAAAAGTGAACCCAGCTAGTGCTCAAGGTATTTAAATCTTCCCCGCCACAGCCTCCAACTTCCGTGCGCACGCGCGGACTGAGAGCGCAGGGACCACAACTCCCAGGGTGCTGCGCGCCTCCGCTTCCGCCAGGACACGTCTCCAGGGCGCACGCGCAGCCCAGGTTGCGGAGGCTGGCTCAAGGACCACAACTCCCAGGGTGCTGCGCGCCCTCGCCGCCGCCAGGAACAAGATGGCTGAGAGTAAGTGTGAACGCCGCGGTTGTGCAGGGCACGGGTCTTTCTGGTAGCCCGCGGGCGGTCGTAGGGCTGAGGTGCGGCGGAATACACGTGGAGGCGGTGGGGTCCGTCCTGGACAGGGCGCGGCAGGCAGATGGGGGCTCTTCCCGGGCGGGGTGGCGCGAGCGGGCTAGAGGTCACCCGGCAGCCCCTGCAGGTGACTCTCTACCCGACCCCCCAGAACTCGCCGCCTTTCTGAAGAATGCCTGGGCCAAGGAGCCGGTGCTGGTCGTGTCCTTCGCCATTGGAAGTCTCGGTGCGTGAGTGCCCCGGGCGCGAACGTGCGTCACCCGCCCCGTTCCATCTCGCGCCCCACGGCGTCCCCTCGCCCGCCCGAGCTCACGCCTGAACCGCTCCACGCCTCCCAGTTCACCGCCACTCTAGAGGTGCAGAGCCTCTGCAGGGCTGTCCACCCTGGTTGTGCCTTGGGACTCACCCAGTGGTGAAATAATGAGCCCTTCCCCGCCCCCGCATCCGCTTTGGGTTGGCTGGGATGGGAGTGAGCTGGGGAGTCTGTGCCACTCACCCTGAGGAAGGAGCTGTGCCCCGCACCTGCGCTGCTCACCCAAGGCTCACCCTGGGCAGGGTGGGCGGTCCCGTTAAAAGCATTTATGATTCTGTAAGCTTGGGGCAAGGCCTGGGATTCTTCATTTCTAACAAGTTCCCGGGTCTTGTCAGTACTGCTGGTCTGCAGATCACACCGGGTGAGATTCTAGAACGCCACGGGGCTCCTGAGCTTTTGAGGGGGGCCAGTACTTTGAGATGGTAGGAGACACACTGGATTTAAAAGCTTAGTATGTTCAAAAATATGTACACTTATCAACATTTTAATGTTGATTTTTTATGTAAAAATGATGTTTGGGTGTACCAGATTTAACATAAGATTAATATGAAACATTTAATGCCACTCTGTAAAATTACAATGTAAAGTTATCTTTATGTCAGGCAGCCCTGGCCTAGATCCTTTTGCACACCTTGCACACCCTTTCACCTCTGGGATGCCTCACTACCCTCTGCCCTCCAGGCCTGACTTGTCCCTGACTGATGGGCTCCCATCCCTGGACCATCAACTCTCTTGAAGTATTCTGCCTGTAAATGGGGATCCTAGAATACTGAAGGGCCCACAGAATGAAGTGTCCTCCTGGAATTTCTAGCCCTTCCTGCTCCCCTTGATACCCCCTTCTTTGCCGAGACTCAGCTTTTGCCCTTTTCCCCACCTCAGAGAATCACTTTAAGCTGGGCCTTACTCTTCTCTCCACAGCTGTGATTCTGCCCCCACTCAGCCCCTACACCAAGTATGCCATCATGATCAACAAGGCCACACCCTACAACTACCCAGGTGAGCGGGGACGTGTGCTGCAGGGAGGGGTGGAAGTGGGCAGTCCACTCCTGAGCAGGGTCAGATATTGCAGTTTGTCTGCACTCTCCCTGTCCAAATCCTTAATCCACATATTTTGCATCCCATTGTTTTTATACTTTTGAGTTTCTATTATCTTTCCAGATTTCTGTTCCTCTTTGGGTTCCTGCATCTGTTGCTTTCCAGGTGTCTGGTTCCCCCATCACTGGGGATAACCGTCATTCCCACCATTTCCTGTTTCTCTACCTCTCTGCATCACTGATTCTCTGATCCTGGTTCTCCTTTCTCTCCCCTGGAAACCTGTTTCCCTTTGAACTTGCACCACCATCCCTGCTGTTCTCTGCAGGGCCGTAAAGATCTGCTGATCTCAGTGGCCCACCCTTCTGTCTCACAGTGCCCCTCCGAGATGATGGGAACATGCCTGACGTGCCCAGCCACCCCCAGGACCCCCAGGGCCCCAGCTTGGAGTGGCTGAAGAAACTGTGAGCACTTCCATTGACAGGGAGGAGGCACCTTCGCCCAATAAAATGTGAAACCAACCCACGTGTGATGAGAAATAGGAACAGTTGACAGGGACTAGGTTGGATGGGGGGGGGCAGTTTATTGGGTTGGGGTCAGTCAAAGGGTGGGCTGGCAAGAGTTGGATAGGGCAGCAGTTTGTCTGGTCCCCGAGAAACCCAACTTGAATCCAGGGTCTCATCTGTTTCAAAGCCAAAATCTTCCTCAGCCTTAATCTGGAGAGGGAAGGAAAGCACAAGTGAGCCTGGGAACGCGGGAGACCTGGGGTCTCCCAGCACTGTTTTCACAGGCCAGCTTCCTGTGCTCAGAGGCAGCCCCAGCTCTGCGCCCAGACGTGCCACATTCTGCACCCTCACCCGCCTGCCCGCCTTCTCTCCTCCTATCTTGCTACCTCTCCAGCCACTTCCTTCTGCAGGTCTTCCCCTTCGAGACTTGTCCAGCCCCAGGCCTCCTCAGCCCTTCCTGCTTCACCTTTCTCCAGCTCTGCCTAGCTCTGGGCCCCTCAGCACAGCAGCCAAGCCCAGGAGCCAAGTGACACTCTGGCCACAGCACCTGGACTCCTTCCTACCTGTGCTGGGGCCAGTTCTGGAGTCAGCGTGGTTCCTGCCCGGCACCCATCCCTAGGTACCCGCCGCCTCTTCCGCCCACTGGGCCCCTCACCAGGGGCTGGGCTGCTGGGTTCTGGGGGTATAGGAGTCCTTCTAGGCGGGGACAGCCCCTCTTTCTCTGGAGGCTCGTTCTCAGCATTGCCTGGAGTGGGGGCGTCTGTACCCTGGCTGCCCTCATCCTGGTAGGTAAAGGGGAGGAAGTCAAGATTGTGTCCTGGGCTTCAGTTTCCCAACCTGCCCGAAGGCCAGTGCTCACCTCCAACACAATGGTGAACTGGCTGGCCCGATAGTCATCCCCGTAGGAGTCCAACACTCTCATGAGGAACCTGTGTGAACAGAGAGGCCACCAGTGGGACAGCTTATTTATTAGTGGGGTTGGGGGCACACAGTAGAGCCCAGCTCTTATTCTACTTGAAGCCAGATTGTCCTTGACCCAGATTTAGAGTTCTGCAGCCTGAGAGGCCTGAAAACTGGGCACTAGCCAGGCAGTGGGGCCTTGGGCAAGATGGCTTGTCTGACCTTTCGTTTCCTCTGTAAGTGGGAGATACTGATCTGGGCTGGGCTGGATGCAGACACAGCGATGGCTCTCTGAGGCTGGCATTTTGCAAACATTCACTTAGGAGCTGTGATTCCTATTAATGACTGAGGTGAGCATGACACTCCTACTGGGAGCCTCACCTCTGACCAAGGCTGCTTTCTCTTCCTCCCCTCTGCTTCCACAAGTTTTCTGCACACTTCCCATACCAGGGTCCTGGCAGTGGTTTACACAGGTGATCTTTCATTTCACAAATACCTCTTCAGGGAAGTTCCAAGTTGAGCATATCCCCAAGAGCCCAGCCTAACCCTCAGAGCAGCTTTGACATTGGTGTTGCCCCCAGTTGATTGGAAGTTGCAGCTCAGACGGGATATTGCTTGCTCAGAGCCAAACAGCAAATAGGTGCCAGTGCTCCATCCTGCTGTCCTGTCCACTCAGTCTGCTCTCCCAGCCCTTCCCTGGGTCCTGGAGCCAGCTTTTCCCTCTAAAACCCAGCTCCACTCTTTCTCCCTGTCTGCCTCAACCCTAGCCTTCATCTTCAACCTCTTGTCCTTGAGGCCTGTGAGGGCCAGGTGGGTGAAGATGGCAGAGATGGTGAGGGGTGGTGGCATAGAAAGGGTTACCTGCGCTCCTGCTGGAGTCTTCGAGTTATCCTCTGCACCTGGTGGAGCCTGTTCAAGACCCGCTCATTTACCTGCGGGGAGATGGTGAGCAGGTACACTGGATTCCACTAGTCTCCCACTCACTGGACAGGTCTGATGGAGCGCCATCTATGGAGGGCCTAGTGCCTGCACACAGCAGCCCCCGTCGGCCTTGCTGAATGAGCAACTGCAGGGCTAAGTGCGTGATGCACATCAGCCAGGCTGACATGCCAAAGGCAAGGCGGGGCCACTTTAGTGAGTGCTATCAGAGGACTGGTGGGCTGAGTGATGGGAAGGAGACAAAGGAGTGACCACCAGGAGCAAAGCCTTCCAGGCTGAGGGGACAGCCTCTGCAGTTTCTGAGGACTTCAGCCTGGGTGTGGAGGGCAGAAGACATGGCTCAGGCAACAGCCTGGTATTGGCTGAAGCATGTGCTCCTCTTGCTCAGAAAAACCTAGGTTCAAATCCTGACCTTGCT